AGACTGGCAACCTGGGAGAGAAGAGGAGCAAGAATCTTCTGCAAAGATGCCTCTTCCTAGGGCTGGGGACTCTTGCGTGAGGGGGAGTGACCCCTCCTGCAGCCCGGGCTTCAAGGGCTCCCTCCTGCATGGTGGCAGCAGTTGGGCCAGCCCCGACCTGCCAGTAGTTCCTTGCAGTGGGCCTGATGTCACTGGGTCTGTCCCAGGTCTATGGAGGACAGATGACTTGATGCAGGGACCTCAGCCAGTGCTGACTCGTGACTAGGGAAACCCAGCTCCTGGTTCCCAGCAAGGGACTTAGTGACAGAATGGAGGAACCCAAGGACCCCTCTGGCCCTCACATCCAGTGCCACATGGGGGTCTTCATGCCAAGCAAGGAATTACTGATATTTTCTCTTTCTGTCTCTTTTTTTTTTTTTTTCCGGAGAGGTTTTTGTTATAGGGCACATGCGCTCACCAGAGACACAGAGAGAAACAGAGAGATAGTGAGAAATCACCCCCCGGGGGGGGATGGTCATGCCGCAATCACTTCTCCTCCATTCTCCTCTCAGGATCTTGGGTACACATGCACACGTAAGTTTAAGCCACTGGGTCTGGGACTCAAACCGCGGTCGACTACATGGGAGTCCAACGACATAGCCATTACACCGACTGCTGGTTCCTGATATTTTCTCTTAATTCACATGTCTTATGTTAATGTCTGAGGTGGCATCTCCCCACTGGCCCTTGGCACCGGAGACCTCTGAGCAACATAGACTCAAGAAAAGAGGCTTTGAGGTCAGCTACCTGTGGGCTCAAATCCTGGCTCCTCCACGGAGAAACTGGCTTGGTCAGTTAGGACTGCTGTAAGAAATGCCGAGATGGCGTGGCTTGTAAACAGCGTGGCTTACAGTCCTGGAAGCTGAAATTTTGGTGCCAGCAGATTCTTTCTCTGGTAAGGGCTTGCTTCCTGGTTCTCAGATGGCTGCCTTTTCCCTATGACCTCACTCGGAAGGAGCCAGGGATTGCTCTCTGGGACCTCTTTTATTCCAGCCCTAATCCCATTCATGAGCTTAATCACCTCCTCAACGCCCCACCTCCTAATACTCTCACATTGGTTATTAGATTTCAACATAGGAATGTGGGGGGAATGCAAACACTCAGCCCACAGCGGTAATTACGAGACCTTAAGCTAGTTCCTTAACCACGCTGAGCCTCAGTTTCCTCATCTGTAAAGCGTAATAATACAGTACGGTGCCCATAGCAGGACAGCTGTGATGACCCAAGGAGACTATGCGTAGCTGCTCAGCATGGGGCCGCTCCATCGGACGGCGCTGATTGGCAGGCAGCACCCCCCATGATGAGAGGGCGGAGTCATCCAGAGAAAGGAGCCTGGCAGCAGGGAGTGAGCTTGCGAGCTGCTTTCCTGATCCCCAGGAAGCTTTTCAAGTCACGAGCAGAAAAGCACAGGAAAGGATAATGTGTTTGTGTTTCTAAACCACAAGTCGATCCGTATCTTTCCTCTGGCCCTAACCTGGGCTCTCAGCTGTTCCAACAGGTCCCGGCAGCCACAGGCTGAGAGGTAACGGGGAAACGCCCACCCGCCTGGTGCGCCCGCCCTGATGCCCTTCCAGACCACACTGCTTGGCCAGAACTCCCGAGCTGGCAGGGCTCCAGGAGCCATTTCCGGTGGCGCGATGTCTGTTCTTGGTGCCTTTGTCCAGAACGCTTGCTTAATGTGTAGGATGGCACCGCCTGGATAACTCTGGCAGATCTATGCTGATGGCCGAGCTCTTCAAAGGCGTGTGCCTGGTGCCCCTCCCTGGAGCGGGAACCGAGCCTGAGGGCAGCACGTGGCCGCTGAACGAGACACTGTCCCCCACACTGCTACTGATACGTCCTACCCTGAGGTCCTGCTCGCTCCTGGCAGCGGAGTCGGTCAGAGCAGAGAGCAGAGAAGGGGGAGTCACACGCAGGGGCAGCCCGGGCTCTCAGCGTCCCACGTGTGGGGCTCATCCACCCCGGTGCAGCAGAATCACAGGTAGACGCGACCAGACGTGCAGAAACCTGGCATTGTGGTGGGCCCGAGAGGTCCCCTAGTCCAGTCTTCATCCAGGATGGGAACTTCGTCTCTGGGGTGTGCGACGGTTTTCCGTGAAATGCCTCCAGTGATGGGGAGCTCATCTCCTTGGCCGTCTGATCTGGGACCCCGTGACTGTTCCAGGGCCCTAAACCCCACTGTAGCTCCCAAGGGTGGGAAGAGCCCACTGCCCACTTCCTAGTCTTACCCCCACAGGCTGAGGATGGGATGAGGCTAGTAACTATTCTGGGATACCCAAACCTGGATTCAAACCAAATCAAATACCAGTTGGTCTCCTGACAATATGCTAATAGTCCCTCTTGATCCAGTTCAGCAGTTCGAAAGAACGGCTTAGAGCTGTGGTCGTGGTATGTAAGGCATTTGTATTAAAAGGAAATAATTCACATGTGCATTTGTGAGTCAGTAAGAAAATAATTTAGGGTATTAATCGTAGGTTCAACAACATAATGTGTTTCATCCTAGCTTTGGTTCCTGGCTCATTTCAAATGCTCGCATCCCATCTCCCCACCACGGTGCACTCCACACTTCCTGTGGCCAGCCTCGGCCAGTGTGTCTCTGTCCCTGGGTAACTGATCTGGGGAGAAGGCCATTGCTCATTCACCTGCCCATCCCCTTCAAACTAGGCCCAGCTTCCTGGGCAGCCAGAGGTCAGAGTTCATCTAACAGGGTCGGGCCCACAGCATCCAGTCAGACAAAAGAGAATCAGCTTCTCAGCACAGAGAAGAGGGGGAACCAGGATCAGGCGAGATCAGAGGAGATGTAAATAGTGTGCCGGGCAGCAGGGAAGACCTGTGCTTAGCACCCAGCTTTCACACCGCTCATGGCACACGGGGTCAGCGTCTCCGCCTGGCACCATGCTCCCCTAGGGCAACTGAGGGAATCGGGGCTTATGGCACAGCTGGATGGGACAGGCCTGTTAGGGGCCAGCGAGTTCCCACGGGTGGCCTAGCTCCGGTTGGTGGGAACCGTGGTGTAAGCGATGCATAAGCAATGGGGCCCATAATGCAGGTGGCCTAGCCATAAACAGCACTGGCCTGTCTGAAGAACCAGTGGACAAAACCCAGGGAGATAGTGACTACAGTGAATAACTGAAGTTTGAGGTGCCCAGCAATGATTTTAAAAATCAAATGAAAAATCCCTGCAGTGTCCTGGGTGCTTGGTCTGTGACGCTGGCAGCCATCCAGCCACCACTCGCGGTGGGGTCCCCGTGTACTCATTTCCAGGGGCACTCAGCCCAGCGCACAGCCCTCTCTGGGCACCCAATCAAGGACAAGCGTTTTTTCACTTCCTTGTGTGGGAAAAAGACAGGTGGCTCCTGTCCATCACTCCCCTCCCAACACAGCAACCACCCTTTACCCAAAAGAGGCAGGGCAAAGGGCAGCCAGGAGTGTGCACTCAGAATGGTTATCTTTTTTTGTTTTTTTAAGTAGGAATCCAGAAGTATTAGATTGAATGGAAAAGCACTTGACATTTCTTTTCTTTTCTTTTTTTTTGGGGGGGGGGGGTTTGCTATAGGGTGCG